CATCGAAGGAGTGGCTCCGTAAGAAGCATATTAAGCTCCTGTAGTGGCCTACTCAGTCTCCAGACCTGAACCCAATAGAAAATCTATGGAGAGAGCTGAAACTCCGTGTTGCCCAGCGACAGCCCCAAAACCTGAAAGAGCTGGAGAAGACCTGTATGGAGGAGTGGGCCAAAATCCCTGCTGCAGTGTGTGTGCAAACCTGGTCAAGAACTACAATAAACATCTGACCTCTGTAATTGTAAACAAAGGTTTCGGTACCAAATATTATGTTCTATTTTTCTATTGTATCAAATACTTATTTAATGCAATAAAATGGAAATAAATTATTTAAAAATCTAACTGATTTTTTGGATTTTTTTTTTTTGTAGATTCTGTCTCTCACAGTTGAGGTGTACCTACGATTAAAAATTACAGACCTGTCCATTCTTTGTAAGTGGGAAAACTTGAAAAATCGACAGTGTATCAAATACTTATTTGCCCCACTGTATAGCCACAATACCAAGAAGTAGTTTATTTGTCCTTTTTTCATCTTCATGTCACACACTCAATTATTCAGAGTAAATTCCAGCGGATCAGTTGTGGATTTAAATGTTAATTTTAAGTTGGTGTGGACATTACAGTACATTTGGGTACCTGATCTCGTGCTTCCCAGCTTACACACGAAAATTTCAGATGCACCTGCAACAGCTATCAGAGGTGTTCTGAGTAGGTGTTATTGCTATTTCGGGTCTAAACCAGCACCAAAACTGCACTGCGCGGTCTAACTGGAATTGCTGCGCCTTTCCTCCAACCTAAGTGAAAGGCAGGAAAATACCAAACATGCAGTATTGTTCAAAATAATAGCAGTACAATGTGACTAACCAGAATAATCCAGGTTTTTAGTATATTTTTTATTGCTACATGGCAAACAAGTTACCAGTAGGTGCAGTAGATTCTCAGAAAGCAAACAAGACCCAGCATTCATGATATGCACGCTCTTAAGGCTGTGCAATTGGGCAATTAGTTGAAAGGGGTGTGTTAAAAAAATAGCAGTGTGGCATTCAATCAGTGAGGTCATCAATTTTGTGAAATAACAGGTGTGAATCAGGTGGCCCCTATTTAAGGATGAAGCCAGCACTTGTTGAACATGCATTTGAAAGCCTGAGGAAAATGGGTCGTTCAAGACATTGTTCAGAAGAACAGCGTACTTTGATTAAAAAGTTGATTGGAGAGGGGAAAACCTATAAAGAGGTGCAAAAAATTATAGGCTGTTCAGCTAAAATGATCTCCAATGCCTTAAAATGGAGAGCAAAACCAGAGAGACGTGGAAGAAAACGGAAGACAACCATCAAAATGGATCGAAGAATAACCAGAATGGCAAAGGCCCAGCCAATGATCAGCTCCAGGATGATCAAAGACAGTCTGGAGTTACCTGTAAGTACTGTGACAGTTAGAAGACGTCTGTGTGAAGCTAATCTATTTTCAAGAATCCCCCGCAAAGTCCCTCTGTTAAAAAAAAGGCACGTGCAGAAGAGGTTACAATTTGCCAAAGAACACATCAACTGGCCTAAAGAGAAATGGAGGAACATTTTGTGGACTGATGAGAGTAAAATTGTTCTTTTTGGGTCCAAGGGCCACAGACAGTTTGTGAGACGACCCCCAAACTCTGAATTCAAGCCACAGTACACAGTGAAGACAGTGAAGCATGGTGGTGCAAGCATCATGATATGGGCATGTTTCTCCTACTATGGTGTTGGGCCTATTTATCGCATACCAGGGATCATGGATCAGTTTGCATATGTCAAAATACTTGAAGAGGTCATGTTGCCTTATGCTGAAGAGGACATGCCCTTGAAATGGTTGTTTCAACAAGACAATGACCCCAAACACACTAGTAAACGAGCAAAGTCTTGGTTCCAAACCAACAAAATTAATGTTATGGAGTGGCCAGCCCAATCCCCGGACCTTAATCCAATCGAGAACTTGTGGGGTGATATCAAAAATGCTGTTTCTGAAGCAAAACCAAGAAATGTAAATGAATTGTGGAATGTTGTTAAAGAATCATGGAGTGTAATAACAGCTGAAAGGTGCCACAAGTTGGTTGACTCCATGCCACACAGATGTGAAGCAGTTATAAAAAACTGTGGTCATACAACTAAATATTAGTTTAGTGATTCACAGGATTGCTAAATCCTAGAAACAAAAACGTTTGTACAAAATAGTTTTGTGTTTGTACAGTCAACGGCAGACACTGCTATTTTTTTGAACACACCCCTTTCAACTAATTGCCCAATTGCACAGCCTTAAGAGCGTGCATATCATGAATGCTGGGTCTTGTTTGCTTTCTGAGAATCTACTGCACCTACTGGTAACTTGTTTGCCATGTAGCAATAAAAAATATACTAAAAACCTGGATTATTCTGGTTAGTCACATTGTACTGCTATTATTTTGAATACTGTACCAATGTGCAAAAAAGTAAATATGTAAATAAAGCTTCTGGTTTGATGCATTCAATTGTGAAGCTCCACCATCTGAAGCCCCTTAAGACATGCACTATTTTCCGTCAGTCTGACAGCATCTGAACGTGTCAGCTTCATGTCTGAATGAGCACCCTGGTCATTTGTCCTGAAAGCTATGATTTCAGTCTTACTAGGTCAGACAGTGACATTTACATAGATGTGGTCACATTAAGACACAGGCATATTTGCAGGTATGGCAAATATCAAGTATGCACCATGACAATTTTCATTTTAGATGGAGTTAACTTGTTTTAACTGTTTCTTGGCAAACAGGAGTTTTAGGAGTTACAACACAACCTAAAACTGTTGATTGCCACTGTCCTTTACTGGGTACTTCTGAAGTTGTTTTCCTGCATTCTCCACAGCTCCACCTGTGAACAGTGTGTTCCATCAGTAGAAGGTTAGGTAGAGGTGGAGGCACAAGGGAGCAAGAGTTTCATGGTGTGTCACCTTCAGACCCATTGCCTTAGGGTCAGACCACATGTCAGATGTGTGAATGATGTTTAGTTAGTTGCCTGTACATAATGTAACTATACTGTATAAAGTGAGCCTGTGTTTGAGCCATTAATTGTAACTGTACAAGTCATGGAAGATATTCTTAACTTTTGTTTCACAAACCTAATTACTTTTCAACCTTAAAAATGTATTGCTGTAAGACAGTTTATGATTAAATTGTCAGTCACTTTCTTCCATTTATCAGTTTTTCTAATTTGAATAAATCTGGTTGCTCTACTGCCGTTAATCCATACCTTTGCTGCAACACAGCAATCATGAGCATTTTTAATGACCTTCTCGAGCTTCCCTTGTCAGATGTACTACAATATTCACAAGAAAATAGCAGGCCCCGTTTAGATGAATTTTATATCATCCATATTATAGTCATTAGATACACTAATCATTTTCTGCTGTGACTATATTAGACTCATAATGTTCTTTTAATACAGGACATGCTGGCTAAGCTTGTCTACCCCTCCTTCTCTTCTCCCTCCTTGTCCCTTCTCCAGGTTTTGCAGTGAACCTCCAGGTGATCCTGGCAAACCCACAGGCGCAGTTCAAGCGGTCCGGCTCCCAGCCGGGGATGCAGGAGTCTGACTTCCTCAAGCAGATCACAAAGGTCCCCGAGTTGGAGCCCAAGGCCAACAATTGCACACGGGTCAGTAATCAGGCACTGCCATGGCAACAGGCTGAAGGTCCTTTTGACTAATAATGCTGGCCAAGGACCTTGCAGCTTCATGCTCATGTCCATGACATTTACCATCTGTGTTTTATAATGCACAGTCATAATTTCTAGTCAGCATGTAAACAAGTACTAATACATTATTCTGATATGAACAGATAATGTGCTTTGATAGATGCAGGCAACAGCCATATTTTTACTGTAATATTTCCATGTTAAAACCAGACAGAGATTCAAAGGGTCCTTAAAAATCTTAAAGCCAGAATTTAGAATTTCAGGCCTTAAAATGTCTTGCATACAAGGTTGATAGGGCTTAAAAATATTGCTCATTTTGTTTGGTTTATTTAATGGGGTTTTTTTTGTAATTTTGCATTAACTCTGCACTTTAAACACTAAAAGAATCTGGGCTCATTACTTTAAGAGTAATTTATTCATATTTACCATGAATATTCAACAGATTTTTCTTAATATCCTCCATATTTTTTTGCCAGTATGGATATGAAACAGGTCTTAAATGGCATTCAGCGTGGTCTTTAAAAATCTTAAATTTAACTTGATGAAACTCACAGAAACTCTGTCTGAAGGGTCAAAGGTCATGGCAACAGTGAAGGTTTCATTTACCAACAAGGCAATATGGAGTTATGTTGTCTATAAAAATTTATCTGATTATTCTTTTACTTCTCTGTCTGCTGTTTGATTATGCAAGTCAGGATCGATCAGTTATGTAACAAGTATGTTATCAGACTGCATTGCCCTGTGTATTACACTTGTAGTGGACAACACAAACTAGGGTTTAATAAAAGTCTGATTTATTAGTCCTAATCTAGCACTTGTGTGGGGGGGTAAATAAAAATTGTCATAACACTGGTGTAGATGGTAGGATCTGATACCAACTAAATTAATTCTGACAAATCATCCCAATTTGAATAATCACTTAATATTACAATTATTCTGAACAGAATAGTAGCTAGATAGGTAATTTGGTAGTTAGGGAACCGAGAACAAAATCACTCCTCCTGCAATGGAATAGATAAAGTATTAAAGAAGATTGTCACAGAGTCAGTCAGTCATTGTTGGTCACAGGGTACAGTCAGAGTCCAGAGTCCCTCCGGCCAGGCCTAAAAGCACACTCACAACTGCAGCACCATCACCCCTTCTTCTCCTAACCCACAGCTGTCCTAACCTTTTATTTTCTCGTAGTTACACAGCCTTCTATGGCCTGAGTGCACATTTCCTTTTTCTAAACATGAACAGAGCACATGAACCGTTCACTTAACCTCTAGAGTCCTGAGCTTTGGAAACCCAAGCTGTGCGGTCCTCATATGAGGACGCAGGGACTCTAGAGGATAAGGCCGAAGTTATGTCCATTCCCCATTTAAGGAGGAATTCACTCTGGATGTTTACCCATAAATTAAACAAGAAAGACACAAGCAAAGATATCCTTGCTTGAGCAAGAGAAGAGAAGAGAAACAGATCAAGCTGACAAACACTTAGCTCACCCTTACATAACTATTACAAATAATATCTATATATGAACTACATACCATTCTATTACATATTACCTCTGGACTGGTACCTTGTTTGTTTTTAACCACTACACTGGCCACCATGACAGCAGTAGCTAACCAAGGGGCATCTTCCCCGACTATTGATAGCATGAGTCATTCTTTAAGCTTGTGGCACAGTCCAAACTTAGACACACACAGCCTAAATTAGATAGAAATGGGTTATAGAGTTATCAATTGTTGTTTGCTAGTTGTGTGCTTGGACAGCTTAGATTGATGCAGCTCATCTGAAATCACCACAGCCACAGCTATATGAAGCCACTCATCCTCTTGACAACCATCACAGAACTGCCTTAAAGGACTTTTTGTGATTAATGGATTCAATTATGTTTTCACCTTTCAAGAAATATGTGAGCTAAAAGTGTCATGTCCCCAGTTGTGCCATACAAGAACAGAGTCAGCAAATGAAACTTCATTTACAGGCTTTTTCCTTTGGTTTCTTTGTGTGTGTTTTTTTTCCAGCAGTTTTGTCAGTTTCAGTTTTGATTGTGTTTGCGGTAATGGTGTTGGTTTGTCATAGCTTGATAATCAGACTGAACTGTGTGATGTCATGCTCACTGGTCATTTTCTTTTTTTGGCAGCAGTGTTAGGAACGTTCACACAGAGTGAGTGAGCGGAAAAGAACAGACCCAGATGGCTGACTTCAGTGCAAACAGGTTTATTGCTGTACAATATTTACAAGTGAAGTGGTAAGGTAGAATGAAAACTATGACGTGGTGGGACCATGTGCTGATGAGCTAGCAAAATAACAGAGGAAGGATGGATGTGGAGAGACGGGCTGAGCTTACGGACGCTAGGGTCACTCCCGGTCTGGCCGGTGGATGGTAGATGACTGTGTACCGACCTGGCTGGTGGAGGCTGGAAGAGTGGTGTGGAGTAATGGTCTGGAGGGAAGAAACTGTCCGTGGAAAACTGGCCGAGGAAAAACAGGCTGGTAAAAAAACTGAGGGGAAGATACGCAAAATAGTCCAAATAGTAATGCAAACAAAACATGAGAAATAAATGAGGAGGATGGCGCTGGTTGTCAGCCTGAAGTGCAACAACGAACTGGCAGGGAGTGAAAAGTGAGTAGGGTGTAAATAAGGTGAGGGACTGAGTGAATGCAGCTGGTGATAATTAAGGAAACAAGTGGCAGGTGTGCAAGGTGGAGTGAGCAAAGACCGAAGAAGTGAGAGAAGAAAGCGAGAAGGCAGGTGCAGCCGAGCAAACCTGACAAGCAGTGACAGATGTATCAACCACATCAATGGTATTTTCAGTGAACACAAGTGTGGTGTGTTTTCAATTTAAGTGAAGCAATTTGCATATTAAAGAGCTGTTATTTCACTTACAGAAACCTATGTAGCTTCATCAACCTTTTCTACGGCTGTCACTGGGAGCAGTTGAATTCTTAAAGTCTTCAACAGGAGCAAGGCTGTTAAAACAACTAGAATGAGAGGTTTTTTTCTCTTTAGCCATTTTAAAATATTATAAGCATCATAAGTAAGACTATTTTTGTGTCAGCAGTATAGCCTCTCAGGTGCTCACTGCAATACACTCCCACAGTACGATCAGACAAAACCAGACTTGGGTAACTGAGGTAATAATGGGATCATCCACACAATCTGCTCTTTCTAAAAACAACAAAAAATGAAGTCAGTCCACCAAAAGAGAAAAGATGGGGGTGAGAAAGAAAAAGAGCAATCTAAAGGACAATAAGAATACAAAAATGTTTCAAAATAAAATAGTTTGAGCAACACTTAAACTATAGTAATCTACAACATTAGTAAGTAAGTAAGGTTTATTTATATAGCACCTTTCACAGATAAAATCACAAAGTCAGCAAAGCACAACACAAAACAACAATATGCCAACAACACCAACAGATAATATATAAACTATGATAAAAATAAAATAAAACCTAGCTATCAAATCAACTAAAAGCCTGACTAAACAAATGTGTCTTAAGCTGCTTCTTAAAACCACCAACAGATTCGGCCATACACAGTGACAGGGGCAACGCATTCCCCATGAAGAGTCCTAAATGTTAGCACTAAAATTTTAAAGTCAATTCTAAACCTGACTGGTAACCAGTGAAGTGAAAATAAGATATGTGTAATATGAGCTCTTCTAGAGGTTCCTGTTAAAAGCCTCGCTGCAGCATTCTGCACCATCTGAAGACGATTCACAGTTGACTTATTGCAACAGATGAGAAGGGAATTACAGTAATCAAGATGTGCAGAGATAAAAGCATGGATAATCATCTCCCGGTCAACCTTTGATAACATTTGCCTTAGTTTAGAAATATTCCTCAGGTGATAAAAACAATTTTTTACCACCTGTCTTACGTGGCAATCAAGAGACATAGTCTGATCAAACACAACACCAAGGTTTCTGTGGCTCAACTGGACAGAGGAGCCCAATGAACCAAGGCGTTGTCTGATTGATGGAATCTTATTATCAGGCGCAATAATCAGCACTTCAGTCTTATTAGGGTTTATGTGAAGATAGTTACTGTTAAACCAGTTTTTGATGGATGACAAGGACTCTAACAATGAAGCTAAAAAATGGAACTCAGTCATTAAAAGAGCAATAAATTTGAACATCATCAGCATAAAGATAAGACACCTGCTTAAAACGGCGAATTATCCGACCAAGAGGATAGATATATAACAGAAATAAAAGTGGACCCAAGACTGACCTATATGGAACACCACATGACAAACCAGCCACATCTGACAAAACATTATTTATAGCGACATTAAAAGTTCGATCACTAAGATACGAAGAGAACCACTGGAGGACAGATCCAGAGAACCCTAGTTCAGACTGAAGCCGACCTATCAAGATTCCATGATCGACAGTGTCAAAAGCAGATGTTAAATCTAATAAAACCAGGACTGTATAGCGACCGGAGTCCGCGGCCATCCTTATGTCACTTGAGACTTTAAGTAAAGCGGTCTCAGTGGAATGTATCTTCTGAAAACCCAACTGAAATTCATCGAACATTCATCAAACATAAAATTCATTTATTCTGCTCCATAAAAGTAATAAGCTGTCCTGCTACTGCTTTTTCCAAGACCTTTGCCATAAAATGCATGTTACAAATGAACATGCATTTTTCAACTACATGACCCCATTATGAACATGTGTAGAAATGAAATACACTGACATTTCAACACATACATTATCACACAATTACTGTATTTTGTAATATTTGCTTCACTGTACTGTTAGTTTTGCTTAAGAGATCATTACTGATTAGCCTAGGGACCACCACAGATTCTTGTGTTAAGTAACTGAATTAGTTGTTTGTACCTGATAGAGGATGTGTTCAGAGATTTAGAGGGTTCAGTGAGCGGGGTGTGGTCAGGGCCCAGATTTTATGCTGAAGATCAGGCAAACAACACCAGACCTGTTGGGTCAGTCCAGCCC